AGCACGTGACACATCCAGCCCGCAGGCCATGAGTTTGACAGCCCTGCCTTAGAGGATCAAACCAAGATAGCATTGTTGAGCTGTTTTGAGGTCATTCAATGAAAGTGTCTGAAACAAAATTGGAAGGTTTATACCATATTGCCCTTCCCATGCTGTTGAAAATCTACCTGGAACCAGGTAAATTTGTATTTTTCCTTAGAATATCACCAATATACGTAAAAAAAAAAAGTCCTGCTAATATGCATAGATGTTATTCCCAGGTTTTCAGTGATAAGTCTTTATCTTATATAGTATTTCAAGAGGTAGAATAAGTTTTTCAAATGGTTTTTTTTTTATATTTTAAATGTTTCCTTTGATAAAACATCCAACGTTGGGAATAAAATCTATATTTAATGCCATTGTTTTTATTTTTTCTGCAGTGCCTCTAGTGACCCCCGTTTATTAATGTCCATAGTAGGTATATGACAACCAGCTGTGGCTCTTATTTCCATATTTAATAATGACTAGACAACCTGTGACCCACTGAGTCATTGTTTTAGAGTTACTTCCTTATCTAAAGAAAGAGAAAGAGAATGTCCAAGGGTTAAAAAAAAAAAAGCAGTGGGAGCAACTTCCACTTCCTGCCAACTTGATCACAGCTGACTGTCCTTCAGCAGCTGATGGTAGGATTGATCTATCCAGCCTCCATCCAGTTGCCCAAGATGATTGGGAGTGGATAGTCCATTGAAGAAATATTCACTCCCTTAACAAAGTGTTAATCAGCTCCATGATCCAACTAATAACCCTATTCCCACCAAGACTCATAGGTCTCTACCCTGTGATCTCCGTAATGTCAAACCTGAAATTGACATATGTATAGCCATTTTAGTTAGGCTTATTATTATTCTTTCTCTTTACTTTCTCTTTGGTGGCTATGGGGGAAGGGTTCTGGTTGTGCCACATTCCTAAGGAGGAAAGAGTGGAGATAGAGAGAGTTGTTTAGGCTAGGTGATTCTTCTTCCCATGGGAACACGAGCTGATCATGCTGAGGCCCCTTGAGGTGGAGATTTATGACATCTAGCAACGATGGATTACTTCTATTGGCAAATATGACTTTTGAGGGTTGTTTCTAACTTCTAATATTGTGGAGTAATTCCGGGTTGTGTCAGATCCGGAATTACCACGGACTTTGCCAATTTGATGCTTTCCTAAATACAATAAATTGTTTTGGAAGATGGGACTTTGCTCTTTTCTTTTTTAAATGGATTCCATCACTTGAAAACCTGACATGTATATTTTCCCCATGAAAAGACTTAACACAATTACTCCAGATTCTCACAGCAGCCTGTGGGCAGGTTTTGCCAATTCTCATATATACAGTAGGTAGTCCTCACCTTATGACCTGAATTTCCATTGCTAAACAAGGCAGTTATTAAATGAGTCCTGCCCAATTTTACATTTTAGCCCTGGTTGATAAGCAAATCGCTGCAGACTTTAAGCATATCCAGCTTTCCCCACTGACCATGCTTGTCAGATGTCGGCTGGGAAGGTGGCAAATGGCAATCACGTGACCCCAGGATGTTGCCACCATCACAAATACATGCCGGTTACCAAGCACCTTAATATCGAGGATGTGTAGTATTGCGAACTACTCAAAATTTCCGCTACCAGTTTTCCAGAAGTGGTCAGAACCTGCCGAATACCACCTCTGCAGTCCATCCTATATTAAGGAAAGTGATTGGTAATGATTCCATCAGCAGCTGAAAAGGGCAGCAAAGCCAGGAAATTCCAACAGTTTCCTTAACTTGTTCTGATTGGAAACATAAAAGACACATTAACACACCAACCCTTTTTTTCTGAGGCAGAATAAGAAATGCCAGAGCAGTGCCATTGAAACTCATAGTTTTTTCCCCTTAGTTTTAAGATCGGTGGATTGTCCTTTGACACAGATTTGCACCCAAAATAGGACCAGGATGAATCTGGGCAAAACCACAAGTGAAAAAGAAAGGAAAAAAGAGGCAGCGGATATGACTGCAAAGGAGAAGGGGAAAGGAGGGGGGGGAGGGAAGAGAAAGGGAAAAAATGAAGAGGGAGGCAATAGAAAGTTACACTAAAGAAATCTGGAGGAGAGAGTACTTCCTCCATGAGTGGGACAACAGTAAGCATTGTAATGGGTGAAAAGGTGAAAACAAGACTATACAGGTACTCAACTTACAATCATTTGTTTAGTGACCGTTTGAAGTTTGAAGCACTGGAAAAAGTGGTTTATGACCATTTTTCACATTTACATCCACTGTAGCACCCTTCTGGTCACGTGATCAAAACACAGACACTTGACAACTTTGATGTATTTATGACAGTTGCAGTGTCTCCTGGTCATGTGATCACCTTTTGTGACCGTCTAACCAGCAAAGTCAATGGAGAAGCCAGATTCATGGCCGTGGTTTCACGTGAAGTGAATCTGGAACCGTCAAGTGAGTAACCCTGTTACTCCTTTAAAAACAGCGGCGATTCACTTAACAAGGAAGGTTACAAAATGGGGGTCAAACTCACTTAACAAATGTGTCACAAAGCAAGGAACAAATGGGGCTCAATTGTGGGCCTAAGTCAGGGGTCCTCAAACTTGGCAACTTTAAGACTTGTGGACTTCAACTCCCAGAATTCCTATGCCAATTGGCGGCAGCAGATCCTGGTGCACCTGCGGCCAGCTATGCTGGCTGAGGGATTCTGGGAGTTGAAGTCCACAAGTCTTAAAGTTGCCCATTTGGGGGCCTCTGGCCTAAGTGGAGGACTACCTCTACTGTTAAAGCTGTGATTCTCAAACTCAGTTCCTTGAAGACACGTGGACTTTAACTCCCAGAATTCCCTAGCATGGGGATTTCACTGTTTCCCTAGCATGGGGAATTCTGGGAATTTGAGAACCTGTGCTTTATTTGAAAGAAACAACCGGTCACGGTGCAAAACCGTCCTTAAAACGATCACCGAGAAACCTGGAGGCGACGGGGACGGCTTTCTACTCCTGCCACGAGGGATGCCACCCTCCTGAGTTACCAGCTAACCAGGTGCTTCGCAGGGAAAGCCCAGGCGTGCTTCCTCCGGTGCCGAAGGAGGAGGCGGGGCGGGCAACTGGGGTTGGGGTGGTGGGTGGGGGAAGGAGATGGAGGATTCCTTTGGTGCTGCTGCAGCAGGAGGAGGAGCCGCTGGCCAATCTTCCGTGGCTGAGGCGCACAAGCGTACACAGCGCCCCAGGTTGTCCCGCTTCCTAGCCGCTTGCCCGCCGGCAGGGCGCTTGGGGAGGAAGGAAGCCCCGCTTGCCTAGCCGGGCGCCTTGGCTTATGGCGCTACAGCCGAAGGTCTGGGACGGTAAGTTTCCCTCGGCGCTCTCTCTTCTTCCTAAAGCTGGCCGCGGGTGCACCGGGATCCTCCTCCGCCGCCGCAGCTCGGCAGTGCGAGGAAGGCGAAGTTTTCTCCTGCCTGGGTTGGCAAGAGGCAGCTTCCCCCCAAATGACGTTTGCGAAGGCAGAGAGACAGGCGCTCATTCATTCTCGGCAGGTCCGGGCAGCCGCTTCGGGTGCCTTCCTTTTCGGAGCGAGACCTTGCTGCAGGGGAGGGCACCGGACCAAACTTCGCGGCCGGAAAGGAGAGCGCCCGCTCGGAGTCCTCGTGGCAACAACGGTCGAGGGAGCTTGCGTTTTGCACCGCGGGAGAAGTGGGGAAGTGCAGAAGGCGACTTTCCGAAAGATTCTCGTAAGGGAAAGGAAGGCTCTGACCCCGGTCTGGCTTTTGTTTGGGGGCCGGGCTCTTGCTCGGAGCCCTTGCACGTGCGGCGTTGCCTTTCCCCGCTTTGGGGGGAACCGAGGCTTGAAAAGAGCCCAAGGTGGGGGTGGGGGGGTTCCGTTTCCAAGGGTTTGCCCCCCTTGCACAGAAAGGAAAGCAATGCTTTTTTGCCCTGCGTTAAAAGACGCCCGCCGCACTGGGCACAAAGTGACAGGGGTCAGCTGTTTCCCTTCGGAATCCTTGCGATGCCTTCGATGAGTTGAGAGATAAGCGCCGTTTCCCCCCGCCTCCCCCCAAGGCTTCTTATAAAGCCAACGAAACAGGGCTTAAACGGTGGTCTTTCCAGGGTGTCCTGAGCTTTTAAACCCAGGTTTGCATTAGATGCCCAAATTGAAAAACGGAGAGGAAATGTTACTAAAAGCTGTACAGCAAGAAACTGTGGTGGGAACTGGTACTGTAGAACAAGGGGCCTCCAACCTTGGCAACTTTAAGCCTGGAGGACTTCAACTCCCAGAATCAAAGCTGGCTGGGGGATTCTGGGAGTTGAAGTCCTCCAGGCTTAAAGTTGCCAAGGTTGGAGAGCCCTGCTGTAGAACAATCCTCCCCCCCCCCTCTATTTCAACCTCCGCAAACTTGAACCTCTCTCCCCCCCCCCCCCTGAGTATTTCTGGAATGCAGAATTTACAGTCTTTGTTAGGTTTCTTACCTCTGTATTGCTCAATTGTTTTAAAGTTGCCAATTTCCTTTAAAGCTTGCTGGTATTTAAAATACCTTTTAAACTGTCTTTTCAGTTTAGCTGAACCCTCTGACCATTTTTTATTATCTTTAATAGGCCTCTTCACTGACTCATTTCCATGTACTCTCATTTTGGGTTGATCACTTCCCCTTTCTTGAACATCTCTGACATAAAATGTTTCAGAGGGAAATTTTTATTGAAGACATTCCTTTCTGACCGTGCCATAAAGCTTCAAGATATACAGAAGCAAGCAAATAAGCTAATAATTATTTATTTACTGTATGGCAGAATAATCTAATAAAAATATTGAAATGTAATCATTTGTGTTGACTGATTTGCAAATCAGCCCTAAATTTGCCTTAATTAAGGATTTTTTTTTCTTCTGGGCAGTTGCCTACTAAAGTGGACTTTTTCAATTTGTGGTTTATAAACTAGAGCAGAGATTTTTTGAATGTCAAATCTGAGCAGTGCTTCTCAACCACACCAAGATGCTTGGCTGGGGAATACTGGGAGTTGAAGTCTGTACAGTCCATATAGCTTGAAGTTGCCTAGGTTGTGATAAACACTGTGCTAGAGGCTTGATAAAGCTAATTCTGTTGCCTGCTTGTAACTGCTAAAGGTAGTACAAAGTGTCAAACACCTGACAGGCGACAGAGCATGGTTAGTC